CTTCCGGAGGTCCGGGGTGTCCCCCTCGGCTCCGGGGCTCCCGCAGGCTTGGCGGCGGCCACCTCCCTGTGCCGCCTTGGTCTCCCGGTGTCTCCAGCTGTCTCTGTGTCCAAGTAGCCCCTTTTTCTCTCTTGAAGGTCTTTTGTTGTGGCGTTCGTGTGTTCTAGGCCCAGCCGGAGGGCAGTGGTGCGGTCGCAGCTCCCGGCAGCCTCCACCCTCGGCCTCCTGAGTAGCTGGGACTACAGACGCCACCACCATGCCCAGCTGATTTTTTAAAAATTCGTTTGTAGAGATGAGGTCTCACTGTGTTGCCCAGGCTCGTCTCAAACTCCTGGGCTCAAGCGATCCTCCCGCCTTGGCCTCCCAAAGTGCTGGGATGACAGGCCTGAGCCACCACCTGCAGCTTTGTTTGTTTTTGTTTTTGAGGTGGAGTCTCACTGTGTCGCCCAGACTGGAGTGCAGTGGCCGCTCCCAGCCACCGCAGCCTCGACCTGCAGGGCTCTGGCGATCCTTCCGCCTCCGCCTCCCGAGTAGCCGGAACTACAGGCATGCACCACCACGCCCAGCTAATTTTTGATTTATTGTAGAGATGTGGTCTCTCCAATAGGCGAGTCCCAAACCCGTGGACTCAGGCAGTTCACTCACCTTGGCCTCCCAAAGCGCTGGGATTACGGGCTGAGCCTCCAAGCCCAGCCTGGAGCTTTGTTTTGTTTTTGGAGATGGGGTCTTGCTACATGGCCCAGGTTGGTGTATTTCTGTGTTTCATTTTTCCGAACGTCCTTTTCTGCTCCTGGGTCCCACCCAGGACCTCAAATAACATTTAGCAGTCTCTTTTCTTTAATTTTTTTTTCCTTAGGAGTGACTAGGTCTCCCTCTGTGGCCCAGGCTGGTCTCGAACTCCTGGGCTCGAGCGATCCTCCCGCCTTGGCCTCCCAAAGTGCTGGGGTGACAGGTGTGAGTCGCTGTGTCCGGCCTATGTTTGCTTATTTTTTGTCATTTTAAAATTTCTTTTTTGAGTCACCCAGGCTGGAGTGCCGCGGCACGCTCACGGCCACCCCAGTGTCCACCCGCTGGGGTCCGGCCCGGGCCTTCCCTCCCCACTGGGTCCCCTGGGCTTCATTTCCGAGACGCTCCCGCGGGAGGCTGTGGGTCTCCGGGAGCCTCGCCTCCGTTTCCCCGCAGGGCCTGTCCCTCGTCCGGAGGGGACACCCGGCACCCGCGCGCTCCCAGCCATCGCGACCCCACTGGGTGCGTCCTGAAGATGGTGCCGCCCGGTGGTGGTGCGTGCCTGGGATCCCCGCTCTTTGGGAGGCCGAGGCGGGAGGATGGCTGGAGTCCAGGCGTTCGAGACCGGCCTGGACCCTACAGCGAGACCTTGTCTCTACAAAAACTGAGGGCGGAAAAGAAAGGAAATTCAGCCCGGAGTGGCGGCCTTGGTAGCCCCAGCTGCTCAGGAGGCCGAGGCAGAAGGATCGCCTGAGCCCAGGAGTCAGTCGGGGCGGCGGTGGCCGTGACTGTGCAGCGACTCAAAAAAAATAATAAATAAACAAAGAGGGTGCTATCTAGCAGAAATTCAGCCGGGTGTGGTGGCTCTCCCCTGCGATCCCAGCACTTGAGGAGGCCGAGGTGGGAGGATAGCCTGACGCCGGGAGTTCTAGACCAGCCTGATTAGAAATGGAGGTCTCCCACCTCCATTTCTAATCAAAAAGAAAAAAGGAATGATGTCATGGAAGGCTTGTCTGGAGCAGGAGAATACCCAGCTTGGGAGAGGAGTCGGGAGGTTGGGGGGTCGCAGCCAGGGGACCCCCGGGGAGAGGGTCATCGCCCTGCAGTCCTGGTCACCCCAAGGTGGCCATGGGAAAAGGAAGCCAGTGTGGGCCAGACGGAACCAGAGGAGCAGCGCTCCAGACCTACGTGCCGGAGAGCCCTCAAGCCACGCCCCTCCCGCAGCCTCAGTTTCCCCACAGCCCCTGGCGTAGCGGGGCAAGCCCCCTGCGTCCCCTTCTACTGTGGGAGCTATCGTGTTTCAAGAAAAATATGGAACGCTTCACGAATTTGCGTGTCATCCTTGCGCAGGGGCCATGCTAATCTTCTCTGTATCGTTCCAATTTTAGTATATGTGCTGCCGAAGCGAGCACGAACTAGGGTCTGGCCCATACGGTATTTATAGCACCCAGACTTCGATTCTTTACACTGACGATGAATTTATTATTAAAAGATTTACCAGTTAGCTTATCTCCATATTAGTGCAATATGCAACCCCATCAGCATCGTTATTAAGTAACCATCGTGGTTGTTAGTACAGGTTGAAAAGCCTGGCTGTTCTAGCAAATATCACTCCAGTGGCTGCTGGGAAATACTTGTATGCAAATTAACCCGGAC